AGAATTATTTATATAGTTTTATTTTTCCCTTTTTTCAACTTTTTATTAAAGAATCTTTGTTGTTGCATTTTGTGATTTTAAAAATTCTATTTGAATGGAATACTCCTCGCATTGTTTGAGGAAATATTAAGCATCAAATATGTCTACTCAAGTCAAAATCCCAATTTCTTAGGTTGGCTACATGGATCCAGTTCTTATTTCTCAACCCGTGTTCTCCTCAGCCTTCCGCTATATCTTTTACCTTTCTCCATGTGGATCAAATCACTCTTTACAAACGTGTTAAGTGGTCTACAATGTACATAATCATACCATCTCAAATGAATTTTTCTCGCACACAAGCAGAGCCAGAAAGGGAGATATCAACTGGCTAGGGATCCAATTTGAGATATTTCTAGGAGTTATTGAGTCGGGATTGGATTACACTCCACTCTTGCAAGAATGGATTAAAATGGTTTTATCTTCAATTGGAGCCACTAATACCTTCTTTCTAATGAATTCCTTTCCCATTATATTGCTTCTTGTAACATTACTCATCCATCTCAACATTCTCATTTAAGCTACCTTGATTTTCAGAACATGTTCATTTTTAACCACCCAAAATTTAGCACCATACCCCTCATATGAATAAAAAATTCACCTAGTGAGATATGTGAAGGTATGTCAGCGTCTCAGTGAGGGAGGATTGGGTCTTTTGCATTTTCACCACCTCAATATAGCCTGGATGGGAAGATGGCTATGGAGGTACTCCTTGGAGAACAACCAAGTGTGGAGAAGAGTGTTTCATTACAAATTTGGTGAGGATAGCAGTGACTGAATTTCAAAAGAGGGTTGTGATCTATATGGAGTTTGGATGTAGAGAGCTATTAGAAAAGGATGTGTAGACTACAAAATTTGGGAAATTTGAAATTGGAGATGTCATGACCCTATCCCATCCCAAACTAAGAGTAGTGACCAACTATAGTCTCTAGACTGCTGAAGGCCTAATTGAACAAATATGCAGTATTCTTATAAATTTTGGGGTATAATTTTCTGAATAGGGAAAGCTTACAATCCTTTTATAAGTTTATCCTACAACCATCCATTCAGAACAAATGCATAATTTAAAGAAATGAAACTGTAATATTTTTTTTATCACAATGCTGACTCAGGGATTTATTTTATTTTAACTTTTATTATTATTATTACAGGAGGACTACAATTTTACATGAAAAATAAATTTTACCCAAACTATTCTGCCAAATATGAATAATGGTTTTTCACAATGCTAAGACTTTTCGTTCCAAAGGCTAGAGTGCAGAAGTCATTATTAAATTCACATATTCACAAAGCTTGAATCATAAAACCTTCAAGCACCATTATCTGCTACATATATAGGGAAAAGGGGTGAGACAAAACCCAATGAATAGTGATATATCAAAGCTATTTTATGACAAATTATACCTCTGTTTTAGATATTTATAAACAAACAAAAAGCTTAGAAACTTTTTTGGGTGGATAGCTTAGAAACTTAACTTACATTTGAAACATAACATATCTTTTGCATTTTCATTTCCAAATATGGTGATAATGTCCATCCGTGGGGTGCTAAACAAAACATAACCGGGTCAACTCTAATTACGTCAAAATCACAATCTAGTGGCAAGAGCTCTTGAAATCTAAGCAAAACTATTAGCATGTTTAACGTCCTCTAATAATGCTTGGGACCGAATTCATAGATGGCATCTTTGTAGTATAAAATATACTGAACATAAGATCTCCTTGAATAGCTATCACTTTCTATATGAAGTATCATAGATTTGAGTTCTAAAAAGCTTTAATAAAAGTAGAACCAAGATATATCACCACTCATCTCTAACCCCACAAAAGTGTGTTAATCCACAAGTAAATCAACACTACATAAGCATAACAAACAATGTATATTGGTATACAAATCAAAACATTAGAAATTAGGACAACTCTTCTTCATGGGTTATAGGTCTTATATAAGTGTGAATTGATTCTTTAATTGATTCTCGCTTGTTCGAATAAAGATCTTAGTTAGAATTGATTTCATACCGATTAATGAGTCGTGTGACACTAACTTTTTCACTTGTACACCTCCCCCTTCCACCCTCCCATAGATAGTGGTGGCCCTTTTCAAGCAAAACTCTAATCAATTCTTCTAAATGTGAAACAGGGACATAATGGTCTGGAATCGATTATTAATCTATTTTTAGACAATGGAATAGTATGGTATGGAATCGATTCCCTAATCAATTCTCTTGTTTTTGAATTAGGGACAGAATGATTTGGAATCGATTCCCTAATCTATTAGGCACTTGAATGTTAAATTTTTTGGTTTATTCAACTTTAATCTTGTTCTAAGGTCACAAAATCCTCAATACATGAGATTCATGATTCAAGGAAGGGTGTGATGAGGGTAAAAAGAATCACTTAGTTAAGTGGTTTCTCTCCCTAAGGAGAAAGGGGGTCTTGCTATCGGGAATATTGTTACTAGGAACATTGCACTCTTGAGCAAATGGTTGTGAAAATTCTCTAGTGAAAGTGAGTCACTATGGTGTTCCATCATTAAAAGTAAGTATGGAGTTCAGGACAATGGTAGAGATTCTAATGTGGTTAGTAGAGGCAATTGTCGGTCTCCTTGGAAGTCCATCTCTCGTTTATATCCTATAGTGTCTCCTTTCTTGTCTTTGAGAGTGGGTAATGGGGTTTGTATTCGGTTTTGGGAAGATATGTGGTTGGGGGTTACCTCTTTTGATAGAGTTTTTCCATTGCTTTACAGATTGGTCAGTTATCGGAACGTGTCAATTGCGTTGGTGGCATGCTCTAATGTGGCACTAATCTCTTGGAACTTCAACTTTCTTAGGAATTTAAGCGATATGGAGTCTCATGAGTTGGCTTCTTTGTTGTAATTGATTGAGGGGATTTCTTTATCTTCATTTTGTGATAGAAGGGTTTGGAGTATCACTCCCTCAGGGGTATTCTCGTGTAAGTCTTTGTTTGATACACTCATTGATAAATCTTCTGTCCAGTTGTTTCCTTGTCACAAGAAAATCTGGAAAGTGGTTGTTTCCCATAAATTGAAGTTTTTCATGTGATCCTTAGCTCAAGGAGGTGTCATGACCTATGATCTCTTCCAAAGGAGAAGGCCTAATCATTTTCTTTGTTCTCAATGGTGCGTGATGTGCACGAGTAGTCTGGAATCGGCGGATCATTTATTTCTCCATTGTCTGGTGGCTCTTTAACTATGGCAGCGTCTTTTCAATTTGTGTGATGATCAGTGGATTTCTCTGAAGGAATGTACACTTATGCTTCTTGTTAGGTGTTGTAATTTATGTAATATTGATTGTTATATTGATTGATATATTGATACATTTACAATTCCTATATATAGAAGAAAATGTGGTAGGTGTAGGAGTGAAGTGGAGGTGGTAGGTGGAGTGTGTGATAGTGGAGGTGGTAGGTGTGGAGTGTGTGATAGTGGAGGTGGTAGGTGGAGATAAATTCTAACAGCCCCCCGCAAACTCAAGGAGGATAGAAACTAACCAACTTGAGTTTGGAGAGAGGAACAAAATAATAAAATACATAAAAATAAAAGAGGATAGGAGACACTGTATGGTCGTGTCAGACCATTGGTGAAGACACTGGATGGTGGTGTCATAACGTTGTAGAGGATAGAAGACAGTTTATGGGGTCATGTCGGACCGTTGTAGAAGACAATGTGGTGACAGTGGTTGTGACAGTTTACGGAGTCTTGCTAGACCCTTGTAGAAACTAACCGGAATCAATGTCGGGACAGTTTACAGAGTCTTGTCGGACCCATAAAAACACACAACAATAATAATAATAATAATAATAATAATAATAATAATAATAATAATAATAATAATAATAATAATAATAATAATAATAATAATAATAATAATAATAATAATAATAATAATAATAATAATAATAATAATAATAATAATAATAATAATAATAATAATAATAATAATAATAATAATAATAATAATAATAATAATAATAATAATAATAATAATAATAATAATAATAATAATAATAATAATAATAATAATAATAATAATAATAATAATAATAATAATAATAATAATAATAATAATAATAATAATAATAATAATAATAATAATAATAATAATAATAATAATAATAATAATAATAATAATAATAATAATAATAATAATAATAATAATAATAATAATAATAATAATAATAATAATAATAATAATAATAATAATAATAATAATAATAATAATAATAATAATAATAATAATAATAATAATAATAATAATAATAATAATAATAATAATAATAATAATAATAATAATAATAATAATAATAATAATAATAATAATAATAATAATAATAATAATAATAATAATAATAATAATAATAATAATAATAATAATAATAATAATAATAATAATAATAATAATAATAATAATAATAATAATAATAATAATAATAATAATAATAATAATAATAATAATAATAATAATAATAATAATAATAATAATAATAATAATAATAATAATAATAATAATAATAATAATAATAATAATAATAATAATAATAATAATAATAATAATAATAATAATAATAATAATAATAATAATAATAATAATAATAATAATAATAATAATAATAATAATAATAATAATAATAATAATAATAATAATAATAATAATAATAATAATAATAATAATAATAATAATAATAATAATAATAATAATAATAATAATAATAATAATAATAATAATAATAATAATAATAATAATAATAATAATAATAATAATAATAATAATAATAATAATAATAATAATAATAATAATAATAATAATAATAATAATAATAATAATAATAATAATAATAATAATAATAATAATAATAATAATAATAATAATAATAATAATAATAATAATAATAATAATAATAATAATAATAATAATAATAATAATAATAGAATAAACAATAATAATAATAATAATAATAATAATAATAATAATAATAATAATAATAATAAATAAGTATGGAGTGGGTGATATAAAAAAAAGAAAAGAAAAGAAAGTGGAAGCCCCATGTGCTGTCTTCTACGTGTATCAGTGTGAGTGATATAAAACAAAGAAAAGAAAAGAAAATGGATGTATCAGTGTGCCCCCCAAACCGAGATGCCTTTATTGTTAAAAAAAAAAAACCTTTCTCTCCCTAACCTCTCTCCCCCCCAAACCGAGAGAGAGAGATCGATGTCAGACCGAGACAGGCAAATAGAGCAGCTGAAGAAGTGTGAGCCCTTGAAGGAGTCCGAAGTCAAGGCTCTTTGCCTCAAAGCCATGGAAATCCTCGTCGAAGAGAGCAATGTTCAGAGAGTCGACGCACCTGTCACCATTTGCGGCGATATCCATGGGCAGTGTGATGACATGAAGGAACTTTTCAAAGTAGGAGGTGATTGTCCAAAGACTAATTATCGGCGGCGGCGTGCTCGGCCGGGCGAAGGTGGAGAAGGCGGCGCGGCGCAACGCCGAGCTATCTGCGAGGGCGGCGCAGCTGAGCGCGGAGGCGCAGGCAGGACAGGCTCGGGCGAGGGAGCAGGAGGCCACGGCGGCGGCGCTGCAGGAGCGGCTTCAGCAAGCCAGAAGGAGCGGCGGAGGGGAGAGGGGATGCTCCAGCGGAGGAGAGAAGCGGAGGACGCCGAGTCGGCGGATATTGAACCGGACCGAGTGGACCGAGTTGCTGTGTAGAAAATAAGTCAATCAGAGAGGGACTTTGTAATAGCTAGTGATGGCAGGTATGTGTAGAAAATAAGCGGAATAGGTTGAAGTCCGGCGGGCAGCTAAGGTGAGGTTGCCGCCCGCCGGGGAAGCGAAAATATCAGGTTCTAAACCTGCTCTGATACCATGTTGTAATTTATGTAATATTGATTGTTATATTGATTGATATATTGATACATTTACAATTCCTATATATAGAAGAAAATGTGGTAGGTGTAGGAGTGAAGTGGAGGTGGTAGGTGGAGTGTGTGATAGTGGAGGTGGTAGGTGGAGATAAATTCTAACATTAGGTTTGCAGGATTTGGAGGCAGCTAGAGTATTGTTTGTGCCACTTTTTGGTCCTTATGGCTGGAGAGGAATTCAAGGATCTTTGAAGGAAAGGAGTCGAGTGATGAATCTTATGGGACAAGGGGAGATATTTAGCTTTGCTTTGGGCTTTTGTGTCTAGACCTTTTAAAGGAGTTCCCTTTTTCTTGATTTTTAGGGATTGGGCTGCTGTTTGCCATTCCTAGTTTTTGGTTTTCCTATTTATTTTTGGTTTTTGTTGTTGTTTAGGAACTTATTTGAGTACTCCTTGTCCTCTTTCTCTTTTCTTGCTTGTGCTTAATAATATTCTTTGCCGGTTTAAAAAAAAAAAAAAAAAATGATTCAAGGATCTCAAAAGGTAGGAGGACACCATAACTCACCAAATGTTTCAAAATTTGAAATTTCTCCCAAAAGAGTAAATCAACCTAAGCACTGTCTCTAATTCTGTTTCTTTTAATTAGTGATCTAAATTCATTCCAGTGATGAGATTAACAGATTAAAGAGGTGTAGTGAGGTCTACAGTGGTGATTCTTACTTCAGTTGTGAGTTTGAGGGCTTCCACTATGATTTCCCTTTTGCTTTTCCTTTTCCCCCCCCTCACTTTTCCTTCAATTTCTTATCTCTCTCCCCCTTTTTAGAATTCTTATGCATCTTAGAGGTGCTAGGTTGTCTCTACACCTCTTTTGTATTTTTGTGTTAATTAAATATATATATATGTAATATGCACCTCAATTAGGAGAACAGATGTGCAAGCATTTTTTTTTTGTGTGTGATAGTACTGTACTTACTGTTTTGGATTTTCACTATTAAAAACTCAGATTTTTCCCAAGAGTTCCTTTTTGAGGGCTTCCACTATGATTTTCCTCCCCCCTCCCACTTTTCCTTCAATTTCTTATCTCTCTCCCCCTTTTTAGAATTCTTATGCATCTTAGAGGTGCTAGGTTGTCTCTACACCTCTTTTGTATTTTTGTGTTAATTAAATATATATATGTAATATGCACCTCAATTAGGAGAACAGATGTGCAAGCATTTTTTTTTTTGTGTGTGATAGTACTGTACTTACTGTTTTGGATTTTCACTATTAAAAACTCAGATTTTTCCCAAGAGTTCCTTTGAGGTTGGATTTCTTTGCTTGGGTAGCATGATGAACCGTGGTTACAGGGTGTCTAGTAGATGTTTGTGTTAACTTATAAGTCAATCATTTGCTTCCTTCATTGCTAAGTGGTGAAGCTTGGGTAACCAGCTTGGGGTATGATAGAATATCACCCCCTATTTATAAATGAAGATTAGGGTTTACAAGAAAGACAATTACAAGATGATCCCTGAGGACATAAAATGATTACAGACCCTAGTGTAACTTTCGGCTAATATAATATGTTAACACTTTCGGCTAATATAATATGCTAACACTCCCCCTCAAGCTGATGTATTTGATCATCTCTTCACCAATTAAGTTAAGAACAATGAGTATCTCCCACATGCAAGTACAAATCATGGAGGTGTTGGTCTTGAATGTTTGAATTTAATGTGTTGGGGATGAGTTTGGGTCAATTTGAGCCATGCATGTGTTTGATTCATGGAATTGAGCTTCATAATGTTGTAATTTAGTGTTTGTACCATGTTAGTTCATGTATATGTGGAGTTTGAGCTGAAATCATGCATTTAGAGCCTTTGAATATCAAGTTGAAGCTCAAGAACATGTTTTGGAAAACTCAGAATTTTTTATGTCTGCTCGAGCGAGGGAACCGCCGCTCGAGCGGGAAATACGAGCTCAGTATTTTCTGCAGACTTGACGTCCGCTCGAGTGGAGAAGTTCACGCTCGAGCGGGGAGCTATGTAGACTGAGTTCGTGCTCGAGCGTCCGAGTGCGCGCTCGAGCGTAAATTTGATGTAACCAGCACTTTTGCAGACCTCATTGGTCCGCTCGAGCGGGGACCCTATTTCTAAAAATTTTGAAAGTACGCTCTATGTTTTGTTTTCCGTTCCCTTTCACTTCTAAGTACTCTTAGGCATGCATTAAACATTGTAAATGAGATAAGAAGATAAGAATGAAGCCTAAAGAGGAATATGGGAATTAAAGAACGGATTAAATCATTTGTGACCCATATGTGTTATGTGATGTGTAGGGTCAAGCTCCAGGGCAAACCAACCAGCCGATCACTGTGAGTAATATCTTAACAAAGATATCTGAAATATGTTGTTGTCCAAATTACTTACTTCCATATAAGTTTTATAAGTTCGTTGATTCGATTGGTAGACAATGTTGCTATGCCAAATGAATGAGCCAGAGGCCAGTTTGATCTGATCGATAGAGTGAATGGGCCAGAGGCCATTCTGACAAGAATGAATGAATGGGCCAAAGGCCGTTTTGACATGAATGAATGGACCAGAGGCCATTTTGACATGAATAAATGTATGGGCCAAAGGCCAGTTTGATACGAGCAAATGAATGGGCCAAAGGCCAGTTGACATAAATGAAAATATGAATTGGGCCTAAGGCCGTTTGAAGTATGTTGTTCTATATATCGTTTGTATAACTTTTTTATTTGATATTATTCACTGGGCTATTGCTCGTGCTCATTCATGTGTTTGTAGGTGAGCCAAGAGAAGTCCAGACCCAGCCCCAGTGATGTCTGTGTGGAACAACAAAGGTTTTGAAAAGTTAGCCCTCGCGTCTCACGCACGAGACCCGTCTTCGCCTTTTTCATTCTGTTTTATTTTGCCATGTGGGCGAAGTCTTTGAATATGTTGTATATAGGCCCCGTTTGGTAGAGCTGTAGGAAAGTGATTATAGCTTATACCTTAATAGCTTATAGCTTATAACTGTGAACATAAGCTGATTTTTGACTTATAAATTAAGCTTCTCCTCCCCCACTCAAAGAATAAGTTGATTTTTGACTTACAAAAAGATATAAGCTGTATTGTTAAGCTGAACTAAACACATCAAAATAGCTTAAATTAAGTTAAAAACTGAAATAAGCTGGAAATAAGTCCTACCAAATAGGGCCATAGTTTTCTTGGGTTGACTTAGACTTATATGATCCTGTATGTACAGAACTTTGTGTAGTACATAGATTGTTGTGAGTTATTAATATGCATATGTATTGTTTGTTATGATGTGCCATGTAAGCACAGATCTATGGACAAAGTTTTAAACTGCTTCCATTTGGCCCCCATTAACTCTGTTAACATACTTTTGGTTTGGAGTTGAGGTCGTAGGTAATCTCGTGATTACTGGATGGTTATGTCCTCAACCCACGGGGGCAGGTTCGGGTCATGACAGAGTGGTATCAGAGCACGAGTTAATAACTTACACACTTGTCCAAAAGAGCAATAAGCGTCTAGAAAAGATCTAGGATGCATTCATGTGATAAGTATGAATTAGGAAGCATCGAGAATATGCCTAACTGTTTTGATATAAACGATTATGTGCGATAAGTTTGTGAATTGCTTGCATTGCAATTGTTTGAATATGTGTGCTTCTTAGTATGTGCATACTTGTGTATCTTTTGTATAAAGTATAATGTAAGTTTAATCAGATAGTGAGAACAAAAGGTGATGAGATAGAGGAGTCCTCTATTGCCAGAATAGACAAAATGGAAAGATTGATATAGGAAATGGCAGAAACGTTGAGGCAACAACAGGAGTGGCAACAACAGTGGCAACAACCACACCCTCCACCTCCACCTCCGGCACCTCCTGTGCCAGATAATCAGAATGACGATCGGATAATAGCACTCACCAAAGAATTCAAGAAAATGAAACCACCACAGTTCCACGGGGGACTAGATCCGTTAAAAGCCGAAGCATGGGTCATCGGCATTGAGAAACTGTTTGAAGTGTTCCTGTGTTCAGAGACATAGAAAGTACTTCTAGCCACTTTTATGCTGGAAGACGAGGCAAGAAGATGGTGGATGTTAATGCGAGAAAATCATAAAGATGTTGACTGGGTGAAATTTCTGGAGATTTTCTACGACAAGTACTTCCCACATTGTGTTCAGGATAGGAAAGAAGCAGAGTTCATGGAACTTAGGCAAACAGCATGACTGTAGCTGAGTATGAGGCCAAATTCACTGAATTGGCCAGGTTTGCACCACACGTGATTGACACTGACTATAAGAAGGCGAGACATTTTGAAGGTGGGCTCCGAAGTGACATTTTAGAAAGAGTGAATGTCTTAAAGCTGGAGACCTACATTGGGGTGCTAGACAGGGCCATCATATCAGAGGCTAACATAGCTAGACAGACTAAGTCAACAACTAACTAGAAAAGTAACAAAAGGCAAGGCTTCTTCTCAAAGAAGAAATTTTCAAAAAAGCAAAATACGGGCTCCTCAAATACTTCAAATTCTTCCCGAGACACAGCTTCCATGTGCAATATTTGTAGCAGAAAACACCGTGGAGTTTGTTACTGTGTGTCAGGAGCCTGTTTCAAATGTGGGAAACAAGGACATATGTCCCGAGATTGTAATCAAAACAGTGGGAAACTAGCTGCTAGCTCAACTGCATCAATCCCGAAGCCGGGAAATACTATGAGACCTTCTCTCATCAGGGATACCGTGAGACAAGGGAGAGTTTTTGTGCTTGTTCCGGGTGATACACGGAATGCCAACGCAGTTGTTTCAGGTACTATTTCTATATGTAATCAGGATGCCTTTGTGTTAATTCACTCTAGATCAACACACTCATTTGTAACATGTGCATTTGCATCTAGACTGAATAGACCTTTAGAATTACTGCCATATCTGCTATATGTGTCTGCTCCATCTAGGGATCTGTATTGTGTGAATCTATATACCGATTTTGTGATATGCGTATTGAGGATG